AATACCTGGTCTATGCAGCTACGTCCAGGTCGTAAACCAGCCTGATTTTCTCTAGTCTCTTCTTCACGAGCTTTATTTAGGCGTCGAAGTATTATTGAAGCTAATATTTTAGACACTATATCAGTCAAACTGATTCCTCTGTGATTGTCACAAGAGGACTTTTGTCCTTCCTTATAGACTGGCACAATCAGTTATTGAGACCAGTCAGATGGGATTACGTCCAGTTCCCAAATTTTACCTAAGACCTCAGTTAATCTCACTGCTAATACTGGACCACCATCCTTAAAAATCTCAGGGGTGAATCTGTCAGGCCCTGCTGCTCTCCTTCGCTTCAGATTTCCTATGTCTTTTTCAACTTCGTAAAGAGACGGAGGACCTACACTAATTTGCCATTCAGGTTGACTGGAGATCGTGGGAAACCGAAGTGTGGCTGAAGGCCAGTTGAACTGATCCCTAAAGTGTTCTGCCGATCAATCCAGTCTCCTGGATTGAGAATGAATAACATATCCATCTTTTTCCGAGATATTTTCGCTAACAGTTAGATCCATAATACCGGTTTCCATGACAAGTCTGAACAGTTGTCTGATGTCACCTATTGCAGCTGCCTTTTCCATCTCTCCTGCCTTCGCTACCCACCACTGTTCACGATCGTTGCGTGGGTTTATTATCATCCTGCACTTAAGCTGACTCCGCTCTTCGTCATGTTCAGAGCCAGATGAGATGGATTTTTGGGCATCTATCAGTGCGGCAGATGCTACTGAGATCCAGTGTTTCCCACTAACATTATGGTTTACCTTATTAGCGGATATCACTGCTGTTTCCACAGCTTTTCGAATATCGTTCCACGCTGCCTCAGGGTGGGCATCATTTACATGGCTGTCAAACTGTTTTTCTTGTTGTTCGTGAAATGTATTCTTAGCCTGGCTATCATTAAGTAGGACCATAAGAGGTTTCCTTGCAGCGTCTTTCCTACGTCCAGTAAGACGCAGACAGATACGCGCTCGCACTAGAGCATGATTTGAATCTAAGCATGTGCTCCAGAATGAGTGATAGCCTTCTATCGGGCCCCTCCATCGGTGGTTGATAGCGATGTGATCTATTTGAGTCCAAAGTTGGGACGAATTCGGGGGTCGCCATGTCAAAAGGTGTTTTTCTTTATGCTTAAAGTTAGTATTTGCAAGGAACAGGCGGTTATCTGAGCATAGCTGAAACAGACGGTCACCATTATCTGTTCTTTGAGCTACGACGCTACAAGATCCACTCAGGTGTCCTTCCCTTCCGCCTAGTTTACCTACTCGGGCATTAAAGTCACCAGCCACTATTACTACATCAGAGCTGGTGGAGAAGATTTGTAGCTGAGGTGGGTGATTTTGATGGAGTTTTGCTTTCTGAGTTGGATGGTTTGACCGTGGAGCTTTCATCGTTCTTCTGAACATCATCAGCACAAACTTCAGATAGAAGTGAAGTGTTCGAATTTCTCCAGTCCAAGAGAGCTGGTTCTACCCTAGGACTCAATGCTATACATACACCAGCGAGCCCACGGGAAGCAGCATCAGGGCTTCCAGATACACGAAGCGTGAAACGAGATGCGTCTTTATCTTGACATGGTGAGGTCAAATAAATGACACTAGTCGAGTCCTGTATGCGCGTTTCGGAGACGCAGCACACATCGATGGCGCGAGATTCTAAAGTCCTAGCTAAGGAAGTCTGTTGTCGTATGTGGCATATTGTTCGGACGTTAAAAGCTCCTACGTGTAGTTTAGAGAGTGGTTTTAGGAGACCAGGAATAATGTTCCGCGTACTTTAATCGTTTGCATTAGCGGCGCGAGGTGATATAGGAACGCGAGAAGGGTTAGTCGTGGAGATAAGAGAGTTATTAGGTGTATGAAGGATTTGAGTGTGAAAACCTTGGTCTCATTTGCTGTTACGGGTATGAGGGCTGATGTCACTTCCCGGCTGCCCACACCGTGGAAGGGTATTTCTTGGAGAACCTGAGAAGGAATTCAGATTAGCGTTGGTCCTAACGACCTAGGAGCGTAACCGCAGGGCCCAAGGGACAACTGCTTGAGGCCGGTCGCGCACGGCCGTTTTGTGGGAAGTTTTTAACGTGTTACCTCCACTCTATAAATGGCCTTACCGCCGGAGACGGAGATCCGTGAGGTGTGACATTTTTAGGGTCGACCTTTTCTAACCTCCTCCTTCCTTGTGAGAAGGCAGAGTCGCTGCAGATGCTGGTTACCCGAGGGAAACACCTTACTACTGTCACACTACTCTACAGTCAGCAGTACGACTTCGCCCTCAAACTGTGAGTTGCTGCTTTTAGCCTTACCGTTCTGCAATCGACCTGACTGGCATGGTAGAACCTACAGGAATATATATTCCAGCTAATATAGCTTCGTTGGGTCATCACGATAGGCAAGCCCGACCACCACATCAAGATAGCAGCTACGGACAGAAGAAAAAATCAGTGATATATTCACACGTCGCTCGTCAAAAATTAATGAATACAGAAATTAAACAAAAGAGGAAACAAATTAGATGAAGATATAAAAAAGCTTGTTTGTACTGAACAGTATCATGAACTACATTAACGATAATGAGTTGTTAGAAGCAAATTTGGTTTGAATATTTCGACATTCTCACATGTTTGAGGTTAGGATAAGTGTATCGAAATGTTATTTCGAGAGTGGGAAAGATAAAAATGGAACAAAACCCATACTCATGAGGTTTAAGTAAATATTTATAGTCAGTATAGGGTTGTGAAGATTATTGAGTTTAGATTGATACCATGAATGGATCTATGTTACACCACCATTGGAAACCTGGAGGGTTATTTTGTACTAGTATGGGATCCTCAAAAGTGCGTATCTATGGTCCCACATGTGGGGCTTGAAGGTTCTGGGTCTAACATTGATCCATTCATGATATCAATCTAAATATGTATAACCCCAGCGAAAATTACACTCTTGCATGCAGCACGCCCACTGAATGAGCAAAAAGTTATAGATTTGCGCTAATTCAATTTACAAGAAAGGATGGTTATCCTTATTAATTGATTTGGATTCAAATGTGATCATTCACAGAAAAATCTTAAATTTTTAATGCATGAATAGTCTGCATTATCGGATGTTTGGCCCAATTAATTTCCAATTATGTAAATAATGCAATCAAACTACTTTTTTAAAGATTTTTTTTAACTGAATAATCGTAAACATTAACCATATTTACTCATTATGAAAGGCGTACAAATTATTGCAAGGCAGTATACTGGCAGAAGACCTAACCACTCCAGCCCTTGGTACGTTTTTCTTTTTATCTATCCTTTGAAATATTAAGATTCGAATATCTTATAAAAAATGGATGGAAAGAAATAATTGTAGCAGCTGAACTGGTAGATGTAAGATATTGACAAATAAAAACATTTTTAAAATTCGTTTTAAATAATTACAATTTGAATGTATGCTAAAGGGATATTAGTTATTGTAGCATCGTACAACTTTTGCTGAGGATTATTTACTGTACCAAAACTTATATTACTAAATAAATCTACTATTATTGTCAGTTATTACTATCATATAACTTTAACATGGGATATTAACAAATACAATTATTCGTGTTTTCAAACATCAAACCGAGTTAAAACTCGATGATTTGAGTTATTTTTTACTCATTTTGTTTATCAATCATTGGGAAATACAAACATCATAATAAGATATTTGTCGTCTCACGGGTTAAAAACACTGACTGCTACTACAAGTTTGTCTTATCACTTAAAAATTATACGCGAAAACGACTATACCACTGAAAGTCTTGAAGCTGATCGAAATAAAGGTAGAACATAACTCCAGTGATGAAGCGAACAAAGGAAGACAATCAGTAAGAATAAGAGTTTATTTCCTCAAAAAAAAGCAAAATTCATGCACTCCAAACAAAAAAGAGAACGAAGTAAAAACTAGCCTGTACATATATATAATATGGGTGGTGTGACAAAATAACATTATTGATAATAATAGTAATAATAATGATTGTATTATCATTATAGAAACACAAGCCCATCACAGTGCAGCAGATAATAAATATATCGCCTAATAGTAATAACTGATAAGAACAGAATAAAAAAGAAAGTATTCGGTAAGTTATTTATATAGATATACATGAGCACATCATTTGTTAATCAATGAGAAACAGTCTAAAACTGCCAAAAAATGTGGATATAAAGCGACATATTGAGAGAGGAAGGAAGGGAGAGTTTCAGCTGTTCATAGAAAATACAATTATGAAGAAAAGAGAGAAAGAAATATTCACATAAGGAACCTTTGGCACTTGTCACCAAATACAACATTAGCTCAAAATTAAAAGATTATGCACAGTGTACAATCAGGCATACACTTTTGTATAACGGAATAGTTACTTATTGATAAAATTTGAAAATATAATTGCATGAATTTAGTTAAACCGGTAGTCAATTTTAAATAAACAGAATAAAACTTGAGCAGTGTATAAATGAAACAATTATGATTTACTAAAAAAGGTTGAGTTTGTACTATTTTTTGTGTATAGGTAGTTATTACTGTTATTGATTAAATGCAGGATTAATTTTGTGTTTCTAGTGATACTCAGAAAATATGCTTCTCATCTATACAATACTGAGTTGTCGATGTTGATGTTGTTGGTGTATTTTCATCAAACGGACTGGATAATAGTGTGAGGCACTCAAAAATTGTCGGAGAAGATTCAAGATTAGCAAAGGCTAAATCACATAAAAGATTCTCACAAGAACTTACATAACTAAAATTAAGATACAGAAAAATATAAACATTGAATCAATTTAATCAGACAAATGAACCAAATAGTTAGTAACATTAACTACGAAAAAATGATTACTTTATTTAATAGTAATTTACATCAAAAATTGATATCAGATAAACAATTACTAAAAAGTATACAGTAAAAATATGTTTCGTATAAGTTTTACATTTACCTAACCAATCATAGATAATGTGGGATTTAAGACAAATATTAATTAGTCCAATTTGCTATTACTGAACATCAACACAGTAAAAAAAGAAAAATTAAGGAACTTAAAAGTGAGGGTCGAAATAAAATTGTTAAATATCATGAAGCAAATAAACTATAGAATGTAAATCGGAGAGAACGAATAACATCGCGGAGAAAGTCTCCAAATCAAATATTACGATAATCGTACAAATTTATGGGCTGAAACGTAATTTAGTCGCTAGTAGCCTTCTTCCAACCTATTGAATATTAACGAACCTAGCGTATATGATTAGGGAGCAGCTGGTATATGCTTTACAGTCTTATCAATTGATTTACCATTCCCACATCTTTAGGAGATGAGTGTATGTTAATATTGAAATATTTGAGTTTTCTTTTTGTTACTTTATGAAAATAAAACTGTGATCAAATTAAGATATGTTGAAAATTTAATGTAAAAAAATACACGAGGTTGCGAAATAGCCTTTGATTCACAAATTTTGTTTGACGGATCATTCAAATGATAAATTTTTGTCAAACGGAATATATATATACTCTTTACGTAGTTACCTTCTTTAAAATGTATAGAAAAATGTAGAAAGTGAAAAATCCGTTTAAGCCAGTACATATCATACTGGTTAAAGAATTAATCGTAATCAATCAAGGAACCAATATTTGTAAAACACGCAACGTTAAGGGGTAGGATATTTGTGTAGCTTATCCAACTTGAAAATAATTTACATAATGTTACAAACTACCATACTTATAAACACAATCGAGAATAAGTGAACAATTTAAGAGTACTTAAGCTGGATGATGCGATCCTACAAGGAGTATTAATTCCCTCAAGATTGTTGATACGTCTTGATGTGTGCCAACTAGTAAAAAATCTAGGTCCACGGTTTCTAGTCAACTACTTCTGACCACCTAACATAGATGTTATAAATTTTATAAATAAAAATCCACTTTATCTGACACACTACAACTAAACCTTGCTTCACATAAAAGGAATGCTACAGTGATTACTAATATATATTATTAACGAACACTTGATACATGAATATGTAGTAATACGACATATCCCTTTTACTACAGTGAATGATAAAAAGCAGTTTGTTAAAACTACGTACCGTCGTGCAACATCACTATATTGTAATAAATTTCTTAAAGCTAGAGCCGCAGTAAGTCGGAGGTGCTTAGTTACAGGCCCTTCATGAACTGGTGTAGGTGCGAAAGGTGGATTAGGAATTCCTCCAGTCAGAGCTCTACGACACTCTTCTGATAGAATATTCGACAATTGTAATTCATCATACACGAACGGCTTTTCGATTTGACATGAAGAATGACTTGGATTTTTTTCTGAAAGTGTTTCGGAATTCACTGTAGTATAAATCGGTTGATTTTTATTAACTGCAGAAGATATAACATTATCATTAGTTGATACACCATTCGGTGAAGATTCCATACTGACAGGTAATTGAATGTTGTGTTTAGCACGTAAATGATCCATCAGTATATCAAAACTGGGACCAGATATCACTTCAGAACAGTTCCCCCAAACACATTTTATCTGCAAAATGAAAACCAAAATAAAATTATTAGTGATTCTCTCTCTCTCCCTATCTATCTATCTATCTATCTATCTATCTATCTATCTATCTATCTATCTATCTATCTATCTATCTATCTATCTATCTATCTATCTATCTATCTATCTATCTATCTATCTATCTATCTATCTATCTATCTATCTATCTATCTATCTATCTATCTATCTATCTATCTATCTATCTATCTATCTATCTATCTATCTATCTATCTATCTATCTATCTATCTATCTATCTATCTATCTATCTATCTATCTATCTATCTATCTATCTATCTATCTATCTATCTATCTATCTATCTATCTATCTATCTATCTATCTATCTATCTATCTATCTATCTATCTATCTATCTATCTATCTATCTATCTATCTATCTATCTATCTATCTATCTATCTATCTATCTATCTATCTATCTATCTATCTATCTATCTATCTATCTATCTATCTATCTATCTATCTATCTATCTATCTATCTATCTATCTATCTATCTATCTATCTATCTATCTATCTATCTATCTATCTATCTATCTATCTATCTATCTATCTATCTATCTATCTATCTATCTATCTATCTATCTATCTATCTATCTATCTATCTATCTATCTATCTATCTATCTATCTATCTATCTATCTATCTATCTATCTATCTATCTATCTATCTATCTATCTATCTATCTATCTATCTATCTATCTATCTATCTATCTATCTATCTATCTATCTATCTATCTATCTATCTATCTATCTATCTATCTATCTATCTATCTATCTATCTATCTATCTATCTATCTATCTATCTATCTATCTATCTATCTATCTATCTATCTATCTATCTATCTATCTATCTATCTATCTATCTATCTATCTATCTATCTATCTATCTATCTATCTATCTATCTATCTATCTATCTATCTATCTATCTATCTATCTATCTATCTATCTATCTATCTATCTATCTATCTATCTATCTATCTATCTATCTATCTATCTATCTATCTATCTATCTATCTAACTGGGAAATTTTTGATTCTAAGCAATTAGTTTTAAAAACTAAGTTGATAGTATAATGGACGAAAACTAAAAAATTTCGATTACTAGTGTATATTATATAAAGATGTAATAAATCGAGTTTTCCTGCAAACAAAAATCTACAGACATATGGTGAATAAATCGATACTTGACGAATAGAATGAGTTGCATATTCCCTCTAAGATACAAAAAGTGTTCGTCGAGATTGTTGAACTCCCCCAATTTTATGTTATAATACGACTTTCCAGAGATTGATTACCTAGCAGGAGATTCATTTGTTGAAATAGCCGGGTTTGATGAAGGCGCCGGCAAAATACAATTTTTCAATCATCTTGAGAAACAGTGCAACGATGATTACAATGTATTCCTCTTCCTCAAAATGCAGCTTCAGGACTAGTCTGGCAACGCCTGAACTAAATATAGGAAGTGAAGAAGTTGAGTACACTGGCCACTTCACTTATATTGGGTTTCATTAATCCAAATGGGTTGGTGTCTGATGAAATTTCAGGACAGATTCAGAAAGATCGGCTGATTTCGTCAACTTGCGCCACCCGTGGCGTAGGCGAGATATCCGTCTGCCAAACAAAGGACGAGTATATTGTGCAGCGGTTGGCTCTGTTTATGATATGTGGCCCATAAAAATAGAGGATATTTGTAGGTTACTAGTATTTGATGGTAGAGACCTTCGAGGCATTGGACCTGTATGTTGAGACTACCGAGTGAGTAATGCGGATGTTGGAGCCAAGGTACTCGTTTGGGATGGCAAGTTGACCGACAAAGTAATGAATCTCCATCAACTGAGGTGGTTAGGAGATGTATTACGCACGTTTAACCACCACCTACATAGACACTCGAAGATGGCTGGTATATAGATTGAAATAAAACTAGAGGAGGTCGAATCAAAACGTCATATTAACCAACGAAGTCACCAGTCGTTGAAGTGAACAATGTAGGTAGGTGCAGATTACCTGGTTGTGGTTCGCGCGATTATTGCAACTAGTGGTTAAAGACATTGTTCGCATTGGTTCAGATGCATTTACGTTTCTCCCCTTTGGATTCTTAATTATTTTAGGACTTTTTTATTTCGTGGATTATTACTTCCTCTTTTAATCACTTTTCTTTGATTAAATGTTTCTACTAACACTGATACTATAATTATTAATACCAATCTGGCCATTTATTATGTTGATGTGCTGTGGCAACTTGAATCGATGAACGTGTGTCAGGTTCTACAAGGTTCATGACTGATTAACAAAAAACGTGAATCTATTTTAATTCACATTGACGAAGTCGACAGTACTCTGGCTACAAATACTATCAAATGAATGATGAGAAGTCAGATATATTAAAACAACACAAATTAATACAAGTGATAGCAACGCGTAAACGATGATTTAGGGACTCAGGGACTTACTTGATCTGAATTTTGAATAGATTTGTAATGAATATTTTGAAAGTGCCTGCAAAGTTCAACAGACTCTGAAAATGTTTGCATACATTTATCCCACATACAGAATAATTGTACACATTTACCACGATCAGTGGAAACCCTGTTTGTATAATTTCCTGAAATAATTGAGTCATCTAATTGCTTTGCTAGTTTGCAGCTACGATCCGATGAAGTAGATGATATGCTGTTCGGTGTTAAGGAAGACGTGATGACGTTGACTTTAGTTTTAGAAATAGTTGTAGTATGGTCAATGTTAGAACAAATCGGAATAGTGTTGTTAGCTTTATTAATTTCGTGGTTCTCAGAGGTTTGCATTTTGATCATCATGGGAACTTCGCTAGTTGGAGTTCCGTTGAGTGTCAAATTATGGCCCATACCATAAGTAGTAAAGACAGGAACGATCATAATCTTGGAGTCGGGTAAGGATACCACTGCTGTTGCTCGCACAGGCGTTGTACATTTCTTTTGAACACAACCATCTTCATTTGTATTTAATGAAGCATTCAGCTTCCTGAGAGGTGATCCATTATGAAGTCTAGGATAAAGCGGACCGGTCAAGAGGATATATATATATATATATATGGATATGTAAAATTGGAAATCTTGTACATTAGAGTGCAAAATTTTGCACCGTGTTATAAATAAATAAAGATAGAGAAGCATATATTCTTTCTGTGTTTAAAATAGGAAGAATATTTGGAAGTAGTGTAATCACAAGTAATCTAACAACTTCGGCTAAAACATTTAGAGTGGATCCCCGTTAACAGTCGTTTATGTGCTGTTCAGCTAAGCAGCCCCGTAAGAACTCGGAAGGATAGGGACACACGTCGTTGCCTTTCCGTCGTTTCTGCCTACGCTCCCACTGACTGCAGCTCAGATGATGTGAAAGATGAATTTTACAGAAAGCTGTCCGAACTTCTTCAGAAAGCTAAGCGCTCAGATATAGTACTCATAGGGGGTGACTTTAATGCCCAGATAGGTAGTTTAAACCAAACAGAAAGGCATTTAGGTGGATATTTTAGCATTCCGGCACAGCGAACAGATAATGGTGATCGTCTGCAGCAACTATGCTCAGACAATCGTTTATTTTTAGCAAACAAATTTTAAGCATAAGGAGAAGCATCGTCTAACATGGCGATCCCCTACACCAAACTAACGATGGACTCAAATAGACCATATTGCCATCAGTCATTGTTGGAGAGGGTCGGTAGAAGATTGTCGCTCATTCTGGTGTACCTGTTTGGACTCCGATCATGCCCTAATACGGGCACGTATCTGCTTGCGCCTCACTGGACGCAAAATAGCCACACTAAAAAGACCCATTAGAATTGAATTGAGTAGCGAGAAAACCAAAAGTAGGTTCCAGGAACAACTGAGGTCACGATTAGGTAGTTCTGAAGATGAGACTGACCCAGATGTTGCTTGGAAAGATATACAAGCAGCTGTGACATCTATTAGCGACTTAAACCACAGAGTTTCAAAGAACCAGTGGATTTCTTCAAAGTCTATCATACTGATGGATTCTCGCAAACTCGTCCCATCAGGTTCCGAACATGAGGAAGAGCGACAACAAATCAGATCTAGGTTAAGAAAAAGTCTAAGAAACGACCGTGAGCAATTGTGGGCATCGAAAGCAAAAGAGATGGAAAAGGCGGCGGCTATAGGAAACACAAGACAGCTCTACAGACTAATAAAAGAAACTGGAATTAATAAGTCAAGTGTAAGTCAGACTATTTCGGAAAAAGACGACACCGTCATCTGCTCTCAGTCCAGACGTTTATAACGATGGGCGGAACATTTCAGAGAACAGTTCAACTGGCCTTCAGCTACTCTACAACTACCCTCCAGTCCCAGATAGTGTGAATGGAACATTGAAGTAGGTCCCCCAACTCTTGCTGAAGTTCAAAAGGCTATAGTTAATCTGAAACGAGGAAGGGCTGCTGGTCCAGATGGATTGGCTCCAGAGGTCTTTAAGGATGGTGGTCCAATTTTAGCGATTAGGTTGACTAATATTTTAGCTAAAATCTGGGAGTTAGACGTTATCCCATCTAACTGGTCACAATCACTTATCGTCCCAATATACAGTCAGTCAGCTCAGTCAGCTACAACGTAGGACCAGGCACATATGTGCATCGGTCCAGGTCGCCATACCTCATTAGCACAGCAAGATGAACACCGGATTCATAGCAGTGGTTAGGTCAAAGGTGGTAATATATAGGAGAAAGATTGCAATAAAGATATAGTATAGGAAGAAAGAATTAGTTCGTAGAAAGAAAGATATGAAGTGATTTTAATCTCTTAGTTTAAGGGAAGACAGGGAGTGTATACACCTACGCCATTGTGATCGATTCTGAGCCATGTCACCAAGAGTCTCCAACCATTGGTTACGATAGTCACGCGGACCCCAACCAAGTAGTCTGCATTTACCAACATGGCTCAGACTAGAAGTTAGTGACTTCAGGCACTGATGCCACGTTTTGGTTTGGCCGCCCCTAACTTTCTTCCAACCATCCCGAACACCGGTTAGCATTGCACGTCGTGGTAATCGGTTAATCTGAAACGAGGAAGGGCAGCTGGTCCAGATGGATTGGCTCCAGAGGTCTTTAAGGATGGTGGTCCAATTTTAGCGATTAGGTTGACTAATATTTTAGCTAAAATCTGGGAGTTAGACGTTATCCCATCTAACTGGTCACAATCACTTATCGTCCCAATATATAAGAAAGGGTCCAAATCATCCTGTGACAACCACAGAGGGATTAGTTTAACTAATATAATATTTAAAATACTAGCCTCGATAATTATCAGACGCCTAGCTAAGACTCGTGAACTGCAAACACGAGAGAACCAAGCTGGCTTCGGACCTGGTCGTGGCTGCATCGACCACATATTCACCATTCGTCAGATTCTAGAACACAGGCATACTTATCGGCGTCCGACAATGGTGGTCTTTCTCGACTTAAAAGCAGCATTTGACTCCATATACCGCGAGATCCTGTGGCAGTGTCTGTCATTGAAAGGCGTACCCCAGAAGTACATAAACCTTGTAAAGGCTCTTTACTCGAACACTACTAGTCGAGTCAGAGCTTATGGCGAACTGCCAACTGCTTTTGCAACTTCAAGTAGTGTCCGTCAAGGCTATCCACTTTCTCCATTGTTGTTTAACTTCATAATAGACCTACTGATGGAAATAGTCTGTCAGTCAGTAACAACGTAGAACTTCGTACGTACGTAGATCAGTTCGAGTTGCCATACTACATTAGCACAGAGATGGAAATAACATTCTCGTCGACTGAATTCTCGGGTATTGATCTCCTTCCAGGAGGTCCACTTATCGACTTAGAATACGCAGATGACATAGTCCTGTTTGGTGAAGACGCTGATATAATGCAGAATCTTTTGGTAGTACTAAGCAACAATGCCAGAATATTTGGAATGCGCTTCCCTCCCTCTAAATGCAAGTTGTTGCTTCAGGACTGGTCTGCGTCAACACCTGAACTAAGGATAGGGAGTGAAGTAGTCGAACGCGTTGACAACTTCACTTATCTTGGAGGTCTGATCAGCCCTAATGGGTTGGTATCGGACGACATTTCAGCACGGATTCTAAGAGCTCATTTGGCTTTTGCCAACTTACGTCACCTTTGGCGAAGGCGAGATATCCGTCTATCAACAAAAGGACGAGTATACTGTGCGGCAGTCCGTTCTGTTTTAATTTACAGCAGCGAAACAGGGCCATTAAGAGTAGAAGACACTCGTAAGCTACTAGTATTTGACCACAGATGCCTTAGAAATATTGCTGGCGTCTGCTGGGATCACCGGGTAAGTAATAGGAAGGTTAGACGCAGGGTATTAGAAAATGATGGTAAATCAGTTGATGAGGTTGTGAATCTTCATCGACTGAGATGGTTGGGCCGTGTTACGTATGCCCGAACACCGATTACCACGACGTGCAATGCTGACAGGTGTTCGAGATGGTTGGAAGAAAGTTAGGGGCGGCCAAACCAAAACGTGGCATCAGTGCTTGAAGTCACTTACTTCTAGGCTGAGCCATGTTGGTAGATGCAGACTACTTGGCTGGGGTCCGCGAGACTATGACATGGCTCCGAATCGATCATAATGTTGCAGGTATATACACTCTGTGTCTTCCCTTAAACTAAGTGATTAAAATCGCTTCACATCTTTCTACGAACTAATTCTTTCTTCCTGTACTATATCCTTATTGCAATCTTTCTTGTATATATTACCACCTCTGAATTAACTACTTTTATGAATCCGGTGTCCATCTTGTTGTGTTGATGGGGTATGGCAACTTGGACCGATGCATATATATGCCTGGTCCTACGTTGTAGCTGACTGACTGGCTAGGACATTCGAAAATGTCATGTCATGTGCCCTCATATTATGGACGTCAGAATCTAACTAGATTTTTTACAACCACTTAAGTAACTTCCATAAAATACGGTACAGAACACAAAGAATACTGCGATATCATATAAAGTAGGAACCGAAAACGAGGACCTTATCTTTACGCTTCTAAAATGTGCAACAAACGAGACTGTTGCACAGATGCATACGATTTTCAATATTATTGATAAAGAATTTTCAGAATTTTATTTATTTATTTGAACATATAAATATTGGTACAAGGGGGCACCAGACACATGTGCGCCACACAATTTCCAGCATAACCAAAAGAATTTGAAAACTATATTTCTCGATAAGCCTCCAAATGCCCTCACATGGTCACGTGCATACAACCACTGCCATGGAAGTCCTGCTCACTGCCTTCTCGTGGTGGGGGTGTTTTTTACGAAATCAAGAGAACGAAAAGCGAATGTCTGGCATTTTAACCGGGTTGATGGATATGGAAGGTTCACCTACGGGAGTTGGGAGACCTTGATTTTAAACCAATAGTGCACATGGGCTTCAGGATCACAAGGAAACAAATGGCGTATGAACCTATTGTTGATCACCGGCTACCATGGGACTGAGTCTCCCTACGTTGCTCCGTCGCCTTGTGGATTAGACCTTTAGGTTAAAGGCTCCGGGTGTGGCCTCCTAATAAAACCAGCTGCTTCAGTTTGGGCACTCGGGCAGTATCCCAGCCCTCGCACATATTAATGATAACTGCTACTGGCCTCGTTGTTATTGTGGCGCATATGTATTTAGTACCCCATTGTACCAGCCCTCACGCAAATCGGATTTATGTGGCGTATATCGATTTGGTGCCTCCTTGTACGAGTGTTTGTGTTTTAAAAAAATAATAATTTCTCGACAACTTACCTTGTGGTCATGTTGAGCACGTCTGTAGTATCACGAGATAAACCATTTAAAGGACAAACTAACTGTCCATTAGTTAATTTTGGGGATTCAAGATGGCCATTCAAATCACAAACATCAATTTGTGAACTTTTAAGTACATGGTTTTGCAGATCCTCATTTTTTGAAGCCAGTTTAGGAGATGCAGGATGAAGAAAGGCCCCAGTTGCCGGTCTTTTACGGCACTACAAAAGTATAAAGATGAAAAGTTTTTAGTACATTAGACTAAAAAATCGTTACCTTCATTTATGAGATTCTATCAACATACGATCGTACTGTTTCACAGATACACGTTAATAAATGGAAAAACTAGCTAATTAAATAACATGAAACTTGGTAACCAAATGCATGTAGCTCTAAGCTACATTTATTTTACAAGGACTAGTGATATTACCACAGAGCCTAAATCGAAGTAGGTGGTGGAGTTGAGATTCTTGACCCTATAATGCTTTGACTATTAGGCCACCGTCTCAGGACACTAAATATTTTAGGGTGTTTTTTTAAAGTTATATCTGAGGTATTAGCCTAAATTTCTCCAAATAATTCGAATATTTTATTAAACTTGATTTCACTTTACTTGGGGCATATAAAACCTGGTTTTAATCAATTAGCTAATAAAAACATTTGAAATACCAGATTCCGTATCTCAGTAACTCTCCCAGTTTTATTTTTATAATCAAGAAGTTAGGAGTAAACTAGATACTTCAGATATTTATTCTACGAATTCTGATGTATAAACATTTGGTGAACGTTAGATTTTCTTTTACAAAATTGCGATCACAATAATAGTTACAAAAAGCGATCAGTTTTTAAGTGGGAATCTATAAATAAGTATTTAATTCTTAACAAATATGAAACAATTATGATGCAAAAGATAAAATATATCTTAAGTAAATGATAAAAAAAATAAAACTAACTTTGGTTTTTGGAGAACGTGATTCATGACACATGGATTCAATTTTGGTGGGACTTAAAACAGATGCCATAATATCATTTATGCCTAAAAAAATGTGAATTGATTATACCACTTACCTTGTTGACTTTCAGGTTCAGGAGCATTAACATGTTTTAAGTTGTTGTAGTGAATTTCTACACTTCCTCCCGGTACTTGTACTTTCACCTGACCTACTCCAGGAAATATAGTTCTAGAGTGGAAGAAGATAAATTAACTAGAATCAAATGATGTGAGAATAATGACATATAAATATTCTAATGCAGTAATAAATACATTAGTGAAACAAAATGTTTCATCTAAATTGAACAGATTACTTACTTAATTTGTGAATGGAAGTCAACAGGCGAAATTGCAACAATATTTTTGAATCGTTGTAGATGTGCTTTTTGATATTCATTATATATTTGAATACGCGGAATGCTAGAGTGATTATGTACAGCATAATTACTTTTAAGCCATTCAAACATGAATTCACGTCTATCAAGTTGAGGTATACCATTTTCAGTAGCAAGGGGCTTTGATGGTGGATTTACATGTTTTTGAATTTCTGAGTTAATAGTAGGTGTGTTGAGTGCCGGTGTACTAGATAACTTTTGAGGTAAACACATTTTACTCATGAGATCATTTGTAGATGAGATACTAGTATTTACAGTAGCAGAATTCATAGTTGATGTTATGTGTGACGACTGTATCACAGATAAACCTGGTTTGCTAGTAGATGAAGACCCTGAACCTTGTTGCGTTGAAGATGCAACAGTACCAAATTCACGCATAGAAAGGTTAACTCTAGGAGTAGTAATGACTGGAAGACAATTTCTAACTAGCAAATCACGTTTATTTACACGAGAAGAATCTGCATTTTGGACTCCACTGACCGATGGACTGGCGGCTAAAAAGGTGGTGGAAGGAGAACTACAGCCAATAAGATTGTGAGGAAAATAACTTGGTGCTGTAGGAATTGAAGTCTTTCCAGTAGGAGTTTGCAATGTGTCACAAACACTCAAATGATAACTTGTACAACACGAAGGATGATTCAACTATTGACGATAAAAAACAAACAAACATATTCTACTAGAATGATAGTAAATAAGGTTTGTCAAAAAAATCATTCAAGATAAACATTTACTACATACAGTTGACATCTAGGATGATGAACAACGGATACAATAAAAAGTAATCTATATCTTAAACGGTGATCTTTCCAGTATGTTATTTAGAGAATTGACTTGATAGAATAAATTTTTAGTAGTGAATAAGCATGATTAAATTTAATCATAGCAAAAATTCTAAGCTTAACACCATTCAAGTACAATAATTAATTAAAAATTCATATTTATGAAAATAAAAACGGATTCACTCATTTTCTTGTAAACGAGATCTGCGTAACAAAGATACGTTATACATAAAGTCTCGGTTGCAGTGAATATAAAAGTGGCAAACGATACATTTTTTTACACAAAATGGTGAATGTACATCATTTCAGAGTAATGGTATACAGCAGGAAATACACAAGAAATTTAAGCCTACAACATATTTATAGGATAGTTGACTATTAGGTTGAAATAACTATCTACCTACTTTTATTTTTATAATAACACAAAATTTCTTTATAGATATTATTTTTTCGAGACATTTATTGCAGTAGGATGACCAATATATAAACATAAATGACAAGGTAACACATACCGATATAGTTAGGTTTGATTGAGCACAGTAAACTGGCAGCTGAACTGTCGAATTTGTGGATGAGGTGACTGTGGGATTTTGTGGAGGAATACATGAACTTGAAGTTGTTTGCATGATGGTGGTAGATATTGTTTTTGAAAGGGGAGAAGCGGTAGAAAATGAAGGTTTTGAAGCAGAAGACTTAGTATTGGTAGATTCTGTACCCAATGCTTGCATAACACGCACGCGAATGAGACTGTCCGACCCCATGGCCTGAGCTTCCAAATTTAGTAAAGCGACAAGTAGAGAAAGAAGGCTTGAATTCTGGTGGGGTATATGAAGTTCTAAGGAAGTGGGAGGATCTTCTTCGGGTGGTGATCCTTGTTGAAGCAGACGATCACATAAAGTAGGACCGAGACAGGTTAAACTGTGAATAGTATCTATTGCAAGAACTACTAAATGCAAATCTCGCAAACATAAAGTGCTTGCAATAGAAGAGAATGTAACAGGTGGCAATGAAGTCAGAAATGCTATGTTACGACCAGTCCTGGTTAAAGAAACCTTTTTAGTACCTACAGGTGGAATGTTGTCGTAGGTTACATCGAAAAGCGGCGTTGAGCATAAGTTTTTCACAATCTGTAAACCTAAAAAGAAAGTCAAAATTCTTTTATTGAGTTTCTTATGCCGGTGAGATAATTTTGAAAAATTGGAAGTGTCCCGGATTGCTAGACAGAAAAAAACCTACAATGGATGAATTACGATGATAAAAAGATGTCCAGTGACCATATATAAGCTTAAATGTGAGTAAAATATAACTTTACGAGAAGTGTATAGTTTTTAGAATCACGTTGGAACACTCTTTAAAAAACAAATAATTCGATGAAGACGGAAAAGAACTATTGCAAACACAACCGGACAGCGGTACGTTCAGGTAAAAACAGATCAGGAGAACAAAATCAAAGATAAGGAGAGCGAAATTGTAAAAGTGTACTTCGTTTATGTTATCGTTTGACTTCAAATCACAATTTTGATCATACCAATTACATAAATTTCATAAAATATAAATACCGTAAGTTCAAAGTAATCGAAATTAGAAAACAAGTAAACTTTATTAATCCAAAAAGGAAAACATTTTTACATTGAGGTAATAATAAACGCACCACACAAAACAAGATAAAAATAATATGAAAAAATGAAACGCGGAAAGTTGTGTGGTAATAACATGAATACATTTTGTTGCTCTTTCAACTCATCCGAAACAATGGTAACAAAAAGTCTGGTGTGAGTGAAACAATCTGTGGGGATGATAGGTTGCAAATCACTAACATCTAACGACGTCTTGGACGATAGGGAGTTTTTCGAGGAGCAGTTTAACCGATCTGCTGCCCCAACAACATCGATCAGACTGTCCTGCCCTTCAGGTCCTTTGACGAGTGATCCACATAACGAGGCGGAAGTCCGCAAGAAACTCCAACTCTTGCAGCGCTATAAATCACCAGACCCAGGTGACTTACCTCCGGCCCTTTTTAAAGATGATGGTAACTTTCTAGTTAAGGAACTGAGTTGTTTATAAAGGCTTAGCAGTAAGAATGTTCCAACATCATGGAATGAGTCGATAGTTGTTCCTATCTTTAAAAAGGATTCACGTCGTCTCTGTAACTGTCGGGGGTTTGGTCATGTTTACAAATGTCGTCCCAGAGAATGCCTCGTCGTGCATTATTTGCCAACGTTGGGACTGGCTGGAAGAAGTGGAGAGGTGGTCAGTGCATGACATAGTGTCGTGGTATGAAAAAAAAGCTGCAAAGGGCTGGCTTCTGTCGGTCCTTCACGGCTCCTTGGTTGGAGTCCTAGAGATGGTGCAACACAGTGGCTTAAGACGTTGTTAGATATGGCTCAGAATAGAAGCCAGTGGCGATCCCGCTGTAATCCCATAAAAAATGGACGCAACTTCCTTAACTGGAATTCTTTCTGGTTGTACCTTTGCTAACTGAACTACCTCTCTCATTGTAATCATTTCACTATCATACACTAAATTCTGTTCGTTATTGTTCTCTTTTTTCTTATATGTACTTTCCCCATCTCTTGACATTCTCATTATTATTGTATAGCGTATAGGCATTTGGGGCCCCTTTGTACCAACATTTATATGTTCAAATAAATAAATAATCCATTCAAAAATACTGAATGTAATTTACATTATTGGAGAACAAATTATTTTTGTATAGTTGGTGAGAATTTGTTCTTCAATGATCGATGGTTGACAGTTGGAAATAGTAAGATAGTTGTGCAAGCAACTGAATGTGTTTTGACCTTATAAAAACCAAAGCCTGGTAAGTCAATCGGAACAACTCTTAGCGTAATTGCGACGTCTGAAAGTTAAACAAAGTTGGTAGTAGATTTTAGAGTTACAACCCATAAGCTGATTATTTTAGCGATGATAACATAATTGTCGATCTATCCTGTTAATCGAGAAATTAGAAGTAGGAAGTACTTCAAACCACGTGATAGTTAATAACATGCTATTAAACTATGAAGAATGCTGCTACTTCATAAAATCTCGACATTACTAATAAATTCACTACAGACTATTTCAATTACTTTTTGTGTTAATATTAGTTGGATCGATACTTAAGTGTTTGTCATGTTCCTCGATAACAGATGAATTTGATAATCAACTTACCACGGATGCGACCTATTCGATCAGGACAAACTAACAAAGTAGTGAGCAAACGATGGAGGGCAGGTATAAGTGAACCAAGAACTGGAAAATACAATGAAGATAGTATTTCTAAACCAAGTTGATGAAGACACGAGTGTTTGGAATATATACATAAAAAAATGAAACGCAAGGCTTGGGGATTTCGTCCGATAATGACAGCACTTAATCCATCATCTACAGCCAAGTTACGCAGTACTGTAGCGACTAGTTGTACACGAAGAGCTTCTTCATCACCATATGTCATCTCTTGAACAGCAGGAGGATAACAAAATTCATCATAAATAACCTCAGGAAGCTCTTCTGAAATAGTAAAAAAAAAATACAAAGTGCTGAGTGCAGTAAAGAATATAGAATTAAAACGACACTATCAAGAAATAGGTAAAGACAAGTACTGGTACTTACACATAAAATTAACACCACCCACCGGTTGACTATTAGTAATTTTCGTTAGCATATAATTCGAAATAACAAATTTAGTAAGACTGAAAATGTGATAGTCACTGATTTGCATAAATGTAAGTTTTAAGCTACTTTATGCATTTCTACTATTTCGGTTATTTCATCATATGATAGTGAGAAACTAGTAGTAAAATAATTCTAATGAACTGCAACAAGAGACACGGAATGACCCAACTTGTTCATGTATACTTACATGTCTCGTATATGTTCTGTAAATAATTATTTTCAGAAGGGGTTTGTGGAGATTTTAGAAATTTCACAGATTGAAATCATGAGTCAATTGAAGCTAGACCACTATGGAAAACCTGGAAGCACTGGACGGCGCGAGACTGATAGGTCCTGGGTTCCAATCTCGCGGGGCGCGGGATCATGGATGCGCACTGCTGAGGAGTCCCATACTAGGACGAAACGGCCGTTCAGTGCTTCGAGGTTTTCCATGTTGGTCTAGCTTTAATTGGCTCATGATTTCAATCTGTGAAATAATTATTTGTTGAAATGAGTCAGGATACAGAAAACCTCAGTCAGTCAGTCAGCTACAACGTAGGTTGTCATACTGCATCACCGGATTCATAGCAGTAGTTAGGTCAAAGGTAGTAATATATAAGAGAAAGATTGCATATAGAGATATAGTACAAGAAGAAAGAATTGGTTCGTAGAAAGAAAGATATGAATCGATTTTAATCTCTTAGTTTAAGGGAAGACACAGAGTGTATACACCGACGCCATTGTGATCGATTCTGAGCCATGTCACCAAGAGTCTCCAACCATTGGTTACGATAGTCACGTGGACCCCAACTAAGTAGTCTGCATCTACCAACATGGCTCAGACTAGAAGTTAGTGACTTCAAGCACTGATGCCACGTTTTGGTTTGGCCGCCCCTAACTTTCTTCCAACCATCTCGAACACCGGTTAGCATTGCACGTCGTGGTAATCGGTGTTCGGGCATACGTAACACGTGGCCCAACCATCTCAGTCGATGAAGATTCACAACCTCATCAACTGATTTACCATCATTTTCTAATACCCTGCGTCTAACCTTCCTATTACTTACCCGGTGATCCCAGCAGACGCCAGCAATATTTCTAAGGCATCTGTGGTCAAATACTAGTAGCTTACGAGTGTCTTCTACTCTTAATGGCCCTGTTTCGCTGCTGTAAATTAAAACAGAACGGACTGCCGCACAGTATACTCGTCCTTTTGTTGATAGACGGATATCTCGCCTTCGCCAAAGGTGACGTAAGTTGGCAAAAGCCAAATGAGCTCTTAGAATCCGTGCTGAAATGTCGTCCGATACCAACCCATTAGGGCTGATCAGACCTCCAAGATAAGTGAAGTTGTCAACGCGTTCGACTACTTCACTCCCTATCCTTAGTTCAGGTGTTGACGCAGACCAGTCCTGAAGCAACAACTTGCATTTAGAGGGAGGGAAGCGCATTCCAAATATTCTGGCATTGTTGCTTAGTACTACCAAAAGATTCTGCATTATATCAGCGTCTTCACCAAACAGGACTATGTCATCTGCGTATTCTAAGTCGATAAGTGGACCTCCTGGAAGGAGATCAATACCCGAGAATTCAGTCGACGAGAATGTTATTTCCATCTCTGTGCTAATGTAGTATGGCAACTCGAACTGATCTACGTACGTACGAAGTTCTACGTTGTTACTGACTGACAGACTATTTCCATCAGTAGGTCTATTATGAAGTTAAACAACAATGGAGAAAGTGGATAGCCTTGACGGACACTACTTGAAGTTGCAAAAGCAGTTGACAGTTCGCCATAAGCTCTGACTCGACTAGTAGTGTTCGAGTAAAGAGCCTTTACAAGGTTTATGTACTTCTGGGGTACGCCTTTCAATGACAGACACTGCCACAGGATCTCGCGGTATATGGAGTCAAATGCTGCTTTTAAGTCGAGAAAGACCACCATTGTCGGACGCCGATAAGTATGCCTGTGTTCTAGAATCTGACGAATGGTGAATATGTGATCGATGCAGCCACGACCAGGTCTGAAGCCAGCTTGGTTCTCTCGTGTTTGCAGTTCACGAGTCTTAGCTAGGCGTCTGATAATTATCGAGGCTAGTATTTTAAATATTATATTAGTTAAACTAATCCCTCTGTGGTTGTCACAGGATGATTTGGACCCTTTCTTATATATTGGGACGATAAATGATTGTGACCAGTTAGATGGGATAACGTCTAACTCCCAGATTTTAGCTAAAATATTAGTCAACCTAATCGCTAAAATTGGACCACCATCCTTAAAGACCTCTGGAGCCAATCCATCTGGACCAGCTGCCCTTCCTCGTTTCAGATTAACCGATTACCACGACGTGCAATGCTAACCGGTGTTCGGGATGGTTGGAAGAAAGTTAGGGGCGGCCAAACCAAAACGTGGCATCAGTGCCTGAAGTCACTAACTTCTAGTCTGAGCCATGTTGGTAAATGCAGACTACTTGGTTGGGGTCCGCGTGACTATCGTAACCAATGGTTGGAGACTCTTGGTGACATGGCTCAGAATCGATCACAATGGCGTAGGTGTATACACTCCCTGTCTTCCCTTAAACTAAGAGATTAAAATCACTTCATATCTTTCTTTCTACGAACTAATTCTTTCTTCCTATACTATATCTTTATTGCAATCTTTCTCCTATATATTACCACCTTTGACCTAACCACTGCTATGAATCCGGTGTTCATCTTGCTGTGCTAATGAGGTATGGCGACCTGGACCGATGCACATATGTGCCTGGTCCTACGTTGTAGCTGACTGAGCTGACTGACTGTATATTGGGACGATAAGTGATTGTGACCAGTTAGATGGGATAACGTCTAACTCCCAGATTTTAGCTAAAATATTAGTCAACCTAATCGCTAAAATTGGACCACCATCCTTAAAGACCTCTGGAGCCAATCCATCTGGACCAGCAGCCCTTCCTCGTTTCAGATTAACTATAGCCTTTTGAACTTCAGCAAGAGTTGGGGGACCTACTTCAATGTTCCATTCACACTATCTGGGACTGGAGGGTAGTTGTAGAGTAGCTGAAGGCCAGTTGAACTGTTCTCTGAAATGTTCCGCCCATCGTTATAAACGTCTGGACTGAGAGCAGATGACGGTGTCGTCTTTTTCCGAAATAGTCTGACTTACACTTGACTTATTAATTCCAGTTTCTTTTATTAGTCTGTAGAGCTGTCTTGTGTTCCCTATAACCGCCGCCTTTTCCATCTCTTTTGCTTTCGATGCCCACCATTGCTCACGGTCGTTTCTTAGACTTTTTCTTAACCTATATCTGATTTGTTGTCGCTCTTCCTCATGTTCGGAACCTGATGGGACGAGTTTGCGAGAATCCATCAGTATGATAGACTTTGAAGAAATCCACTGGTTCTTTGAAACTCTGTGGTTTAAGTCGCTAATAGATGTCACTAATATACCCACCTAAATGCCTTTTTGTTTGGTTTAAACTACGTATCTGGGCATTAAAGTCACCTGCTACGAGTACTATGTTTGAACTGTTAGCTTTCTGTAAAATTCATCTTCCACTTCATCTGAGCTGCAGTCAGTGGGAGCGTAGGCAGAAACGACGGAAAGGCAACGACGTGTGTCCCTATCCTTCCGAGTTCTTACGGAGCCGTTTAGCCGAACAGCACATAGACGACTGTTGACGGGGATCCACTCTAGCAGTGCTTGTTCCGCCCTCATGCTCAGTGCTATGCCTACACCTGCCAGTCCACGAGAACTGGCCATCGGGTCACCAGATACACGTAGGGTGTATCTCATTGGCTCTCCGTTTTGCCGAGGTGAGGTCAAGTGAATGACCACACTGGAATGCTGTATGCGTGTTTCGGAGACACAGCATACATCAATGGTACGAGATTCTAGGGTTTTAGCCAAGGAAGCCTGCTGACGGATTTGACATAGAGTGCGTACGTTGAAAGCTCCAATGTGTAGTTTGGAGAGAGGTTTCAGTAGACCTGGGACAGAGTTTTGAGCACTAGAATCGTTGGCTATGGTGACACTTGAGGAGGAAGCCGAAGGAGGAAGTTTAGGGTTGAAAGTCGATGTAGGAGGAATAATAGGAATTGAAGAGGAAGGTTGATTATGAATACAGTGGTCTTTAAGTGCTGTTAGAGGTATGAGGGCGGTTATCACTTCCCGGTTGCCCACACCGTGGAAGGGTTCTTCTGAAGGTACCTGAAAAGGAAATTGGATTAGTGGCGGTCTCAGTGACCTGAGAGCGTGACCGCAGTGCCCAAGGGACAACTGCTTGAGGCCGGTCGCGCACGGCCTTTTCGTGGGAGGTTTTTGACGTGTTAGCTCCGTTCTTCAAAGGGCCTTACCGCCGGAGACGGAAATCCGTGAGGTAAGGTGAGGTGTGCATTTTTAGGGTCGACCTCTTCTAACCCCACCCCTCCTTGTGGGAAGGCAGCATCGCTGTCATGCTGGTTGTCTGAAGGAAACACCTTACTGCTGTCACACCTCTGTACAGTCAGCAGTACGACTTCGCCTTCGGACCTTGGGTTTGTTGCTTTTAGTTTCACCGCTCTTCAACCGACCTGTCTGACATGGTAGGACCTTGAGGAACGGTTGTTCCAGCCAGTATAGCTCGGTCGCTTCATCATGATAGGCAAGCCCGACCACCACGTCAAGGTAGCAACAAGGGTCGGGATACAGAAAACCTGACGATTAGTGGTTCCGAAATGCTAATATTTGATTACTAAATGAAAAAAATTCGTAAACATCTCACAGGTTTAGATCATGTATAAGTTGCAGTGGTAAAATATATACTCTCACAAAAACCCAAAGACAATTACTGATGCCTCATATTTACCGAAGCTGTACATTAATAGATCAATTGGGTTATGCTGTGTTACGTCAAGCGTAGTGTCCAACAAACGTACCACATATGTGAGGCTTCTGGTGCTTTATAAATTTTGGTTATATGGCAGGATATTGTAAGATATTTTTCAAGCAGAAATGATGAGTAGTATTTCTTAGTGATGTACATTTTTCAATAGTATTCAGCTTACATAGTACTGGATACCATGCTAACGACTTTTCAAGGAATGGTTTATATAAGCGTCCTTCGAATCGCGTACAATACTTAAACGTAATTATTCTACTTAGTGAAGGCTTTTTTTTACCTAGAATTGATTTTACTTTAAGAGAATGATTTCTACATATGTCTGGATTAACGACTGGGAGGAGAGATTGGTTGAATCGAATACTTCAATGACTTAAGGCGTTGAGTCAACAAAGGCGGATACAATTCATCATCAATTAAACTAAAGTGTGGCACGCAGGTATCCGAATGTCTATTGAGGCAGGGGCAATTGATGCACAGATTTCCCAGCTATTTTCAAACACTAACAATAAACATAGAATATATATCTTGTAGGACTTCCAATAGTATTCAAAAATTCGATGGTACGAAGCTCATTTACAGATCTTAGGGATAAATAATTGATGAAATAAGATAGAAGTAGCTCATATTTCGTTGTAAAGCAAGTCTATGTTGTTAGTACTTTTAAAATTAAAATTCTTTTTAGGATAATAGCCCCATATGAGAGCCAGCCACCAAAAGTTATCGACAGCAAATTTGAGAAAAACAGACAGTTTAGTTTTACTTTACTATTTGAAGATATGTAAATGACGTTAATATTAGGACAAAGTAAGTTGAGTGAGGGAAAATCGATTGAGATGATGCAGATTTACATATACCGAGACGATGATTATTTCGACAAGTTATGAAACGAAAGTGAGAATTTAGGATACGCAGTATGAAACAGTATCGATGCACATAGTTTTCAACAAACACGCATATTGGTATCCTGAGAAATTATGAATCCAAAACAAGTCAAAATACGAGTGAAGCAAGGAAACTATTGTGTTATTGTAAGAGAAATCTAGTGATTGCAATATGTATATAGTTGTCCAGTGAAGAGAAAAGAAATGAGTTAACAGACTATCTTTATCTAATAGGTTACCTTAAACGCTTTAAATTGTTACATTCTACATAACTACATGAAAAGTAAGGAAACAAAGGAGACATGCGACAAGGTAGGTAACCTGAGCGTTGAAGGACAAGTCCGTTTAGTCAAACTTGAACCATAATTATGTAAGGGGTAGTGATACTGTTCAATTATCTTAAGTCACTTGGTCTCCTCAGTAGTGGGGACCGATTACGGATAAATTAATAAGATAACCCATACATCAGGTACTTGAATATGAGTTATGTTGTGTGAAAGTTATTGATACCACTTGGTAAACCAAACAGGGGGGGGTGATTTCTTCATTTCTATAAACTTTATTAAACACAATGATTGCCAATTATTACAAGCCAAAAATCCGTAATATCGTGTTTTAGTTCCCTAACCTGTTCGTTTAACAGGTTTGTGAATTGATTGATTTAAACTAAGAAACTGATTTCTATTTTAATTAAATCAAATCTGCATCTCAGAATAGACTTAAAGAACGGTATGTAGGTAGCGCCAACTCATCCTAAAATTATGATTCGAAAAACTGAATGTCTTTCAGCTAATATAGAGGATTTTGGGTCATAACACTTTCGACACTGAAAAACGTTTATGCATTACCCAGAAAGCCTACATGATTAACAGCTGATTTCAGTTCACTATGTAGCGTAATAGAGTTAAACCAAAAAATGATAACTTCATCAAAGCGTCGAGTCATTTGATGAAATCACTGACTGTTTTGAATGACATTCAGGCTATGCTATACAACATATGGTGTATGGCGCAGGCAGCATAACCTGTAGGACCAAAGCGATCACATTAAAGCTACTTAGTAATAGCAAAGTTTATATTCAGCTTAGAATTAAATCAGAAGAGAGGATCAACTAAAAAGTCATTATCTAGAAGTAATCAATTGCTATGTTTAGTTGTTTGACACTGCAACGTTGACTTGATATTGCTTGTAAATGCCTAAATAACAGTTGACTAAGCCGACAAGGCCAGGTAGGGAAGGCTTTAACAAGTTAAAAAGTAAGACAAATAATCTAACGCGAACAATGGAGAGGTTGATGAAATAGCAAGCACCTGACTTTAAAAAGTAGATTAGCCGGTTTGAATCTGGTTTCACCAACTTCGGTTCAGACAGCTGTGTACTATCATTCGATTTGACGAACCCAATGGTGTGGCTTACAGTCGAGTGTGTAAAAGAATACTTGTTAGTGAGGTTACAATATTGTCAAATACGAGATCATGCAATTAGCCTATATGAATAAAGTAGATGCTAGCAAGGTGCATAAACCAAGGTATGTACGAATGATCGTAAACTAATAAAAATAATCTACCATAGCTAATTCAAACACGTTAAACGAATACTAGTATAACATTCAACACTTCATTGTTCCGAATGGATAAAATGTAAAGGATGGAACGAATCTGCATACAATTCTCCAAATACATCCATAATCGTATGCTAAATCACCCCAGTAATCGTACTTGGTCTTCGGAATCAGAAATCTTGGAGCTTCATCAAAAGGCTTGAATACTGAGTGATAACACTGAGAAATAACAAAACACCAATACACGATGCAATCAGTCATATTGGTCTGGTTTCCAGATATCAATGGGTGATGTAAAAACATTTTCATGGTTTACTAAATTTGTTCCTTTTAAGATAAAATGGATTAGTTACGTTTGGGTTTGAGGTACATAGGACAGTAAATGATACCGAAGAATTGAATTAGGAATGTCATACATGACTATTTAGCATTATACTGTTAAGGGACCAACATTTGATTTCGTAACAAGACTACCATTATACCTTTATCCCAATCTAACGGAATATTCTAAATGCCGAGAATTGGAGAAGAGCATAAGATGATAAAACTAGTTGGATTCTCTATGGACAAACAACAGCTTTTAGATGATAATAAACTAAATGATTTTAGAAACAATCTAAGACTTAAAAACAGTAATACGCCAGAAAAGTATGGTACAGTGGTATTCTTGATAACTTACTTGAGTAGAAGGCGATGGGAGAAAGAAATACTCGTCCATTCTCTTTGTCAATATTTGATTCCCAAAACTAGAATTGATTAATAAAATATAGAGCACTTACATTGAGGTATCTGCTGTATTGGTACGTCGTGACATGTTCTGGAATAAAATATGGATCTATATAATGAATTTAAGGATCGGGACTTACTTGGTCCGTAAATGCCAACAGTATATAACAGAACATCCAGAAGCCTAGGATTTTTACTAATACTGAAGTCATTTGGTTGAGAAGACATAAGAAGGATTGTGTTTAACGCAAGCTCAATTTCATTAGGAAGCCCTGACAATAATGATTTTTCTAATGAAATGTATTCGAAATCATCTTTTAAATCGATACTCAAATTCCAACTTTTTCGCAAGTGATTGGGTATTTCTTCAGTATTAGAACGAACAGAAGCCCCATAAATGTTTTGTCTAGACGATTTTAGGAACTGATCGAAATCCTTTAGAAAGTTTATCACTAGTAATGGTAAAAACGAACCTGAGCATCACCGTCAAAGTGAGTAACAGCATCATCCTGTTCATCGGATGTGAAAATGCTTCTTGACGTCATTCGTTGGTTTCTTTCGAACAACTCGAGATACCTCTGATAAATAGTGCGCAATCCATGGCCTGCATCGACACAACCTGGTGGCAGACCTAAGGCTAGATAAACTTCCAACCACAGGTGGGAAAAAGTAACCTGTAACAAGAACACTAGATGATTGTTTTCTGACTTACTTGTTTGTGACCACCTCGCAGGGCAACTTCGTTGTACAGCTTTTGTAAATCAATTAAGTGTCCAAAAAGATAGGGCGGTTGTAAAACAGTATTTTGTCTGGAAGATATATAAAACAAAACTGAACCTGTTACAAACCTGTTATGCCTTGAAAGCTTTTGAAGTTCTAGAATAAACTGCTCATATGGCTTCATGCATAATGGTAGGGAACTCATCAGGGAGTAAAATCGACTTTTGTTTTTTGACATTGTGTTCTATGCTTATTTGAAGGTTATTTAGGATTGAGCCTGAAGACGAGTCCACACCCCAACAGGAAAATACGTTCCACTCCTAACATTTTTTAAATATCGAAATGATAAATGGATTGTGTGCAGGTTTAGATTGACGGTTGAGGATTAGTGTGTATGCCTGTCTGCACACAATTACGCAATTCACCAGCCTTATTATATGAATTTGCTCGACTGGTTCAATAAATTTCCAGAGCAAGGGTGTGAGGTTTAGCACGGACAACGCATACTGGTCTCACCGATGTGGAATGTGGTAAAGAAAAATAATCTTTTCCTAAACACTATTTGATTACTCTGAACAAAAAAACTATGCACACTGCCAAAAGCAAATATAAACAGTCAGCCCTGAAAGCCTTCATAAAGGATGATCGTAAGACAAACACATAGCGATACCTAATGCACGCGTGCTGTCTATCAAACATATTGAAAGGTCAGACATGCACTAGGTCATTGATCAAAGTAGCGATTAAATGAAGAACAACTGGGATAGGAAAACGAAAATACAGTGAGCCAATCAAATCTCTCCCTAGTGCAAATAGGTTGAAAGCAAGGAGACGTATAGCTGATATAAGAAAAGACAGGGTTATATGGAACGAATCAACGTGTTGGATGTAATGTTTAAAACAACTAATTCTTTTCAGGTAAAGTTATAAGATCAAAATAAAAGTGAATTATGATTTCAAATAATCAAGCTAAAATTCGCTAACTATTAATTTTAGAAATTAGCCCGCTTACTACGATTTCTCCTACTTCGTGTCACAGCGCGATTTACAAACGTCCTAACGTTGAAGGCCGTGTATTGTATGACTAAATATCTTCTGTAAGTAAGCGATCATCATATTTACTTCTTCTTGGACGGCACTTCCATAATAAATTTACAAAGGGTTATTGGTTCTTAAAAACTTCGCTCCTTATGTTGTGGTGGAATTTTTGAGATCTTACAAATTCATATTCTCTTACTTAAAGGGTCTACACATCATATGTTTATTAAAATGAATAACTAACTTCACTTAATCATTCTCCAAGTCTGGAATGATGGCTGCTTCTTCCAATGTTATCATGACTCGACCAAATTGTCCTACAACATTTCCTTCAGTGTTGTACGAAACTGGCGGGACTATAATTTATGGACAGACATAACATGACGTTTGTCGGATTTTAGCATAAAGTTCACTCATTCGTTTGGCTAAATAGGGTTTCAGCATTATGGCTGATGTCATTTCCTGCTGAAAACCCCAAATCTAATTCCTAACATTGACCATCAACTGTAAATCATAATTCTAATTCCTCACACTGGTTTGGAACCCTTATTTGGTCCTAGTTGCTAGGTGAACAATCTCAAGGTCAGTCTGGCGTTGCTCAAAGGTCATCCATAAATATTAGTCTCACCGAAAACTTTAAGGATGGTCCTCTAAAATTACCAGAGAAGCTATTAAGTATATTTGGAAAAACCTTGAAGTTCAGATTAACTCTACCCGAATAATCTCGTTAGTTTTTTGTTTCAGTCTATTAGGTACGACAAATTCTTTCATCTCAACTACTTAGAAACCTGAATGATTACTATAGTTTCTGAAATATTCGTTTAAATTGTCATCTGGTGCAATAATGGAATCTATAGAAAGCAGACAGCAATAAAAGTCGAATGAATTTTACTCCTGGCTATAGGCGTGTTGATCATTATCTTCAACCTTCGTCTGTGTTTTTGTGAAACAGTCTGTCATCCTAAAATACAGAGGCTCATCGACTTAATGTGGTAAATCAATCGATTGGTTGGTTGTGCAGTTAGGTGTTAGGTACTAGGAAAAGTGGCATATCTGTTGGCTGAGTTTTATATCACTCATTCGCACTGCAATAGGGGCTAGTTTGTGTTGAAAGAAAGCTCAGTTTAGACCAATTAAGATTTAAACGGAAAGAGCAACAATACTTACAGAATACTATAAGTCCACTGTCCCTCATTGCTGTCTTCAGCTACATACAATTTAATAAGCTCAGTCATTTACCATAGCATTAAATTTGAAAAGTAAACTGTCCTTCAGTGAGGAATAAGTTTTTCGCTTTGTAAAACAGTTTTAATTGCTCGGGGTGGTTCTGGAATATTCAAGATAATTCTACTGTACAATGTGACAAGGAAGTGGAGTATTTGGGAAGAAATTGAACATTGGTTAAGCTCAAACTTATTATAGTCAAGTCAAAATGTGTAGTTCACTTTTGTTACCAAGACAGTTGAAGATTATTTACTGACTCTTTAATGATCAGGTTTAAGCATTCCGATAACTGCAGCTTCCATCAGTTTTAATATAGTTGTGTTGGGTTGTTTGTTGATCACCTTAAATGCACTTCATGCACCGGCATGCTGTCAAACTATTGAGGCCGTTTTACCTTTGGAGTTACCAGTTTCTGTAAATATACTCAATAAAACTAGTAGAAGCCCGTTCTTCTGTCATTACAGTGTACATTGGGCTGAGCTGTCCATTGTACTCCGTGCTTCCCTTCAGATGTCGAGCTTTTCATAATCCAGTCAACCACCAAAAGAAAGAGAAAGTAGGAGAGTAAGCAGCCTTATCCGACTCCGTTCCTTACATGAAATGCGTCTCTCAGCTGTCTGTCATGCACCACTTTGCAGTGTAGTCTGTTGTATGAAGTCCGTATGATGTTGACGATCTCAGGTAGACTATAGTGTCGAAGAAGGTTCCATAATGTTCTATGCACGCTCTCAAACGCCTCACAGTCAAGGAAGTTGATATATAGTGACAAGTTCCATTCAGTGTATTGTTCAACGACGATCTGTAGTGTTGTAATGTGCTTTATGCTCGACCGATCCTTACGGAATCAGACTTGTTGATTCCGAAGTTGGACGTCTACTAAACACTACGTGAAAACTTCCTGGTATCAACAATGGTGTGATTCCTTTGTAGTTCTCACACTTACTCAGATTGTTGCCTGATATCTTTTCAAGTGTCCTTCTCTATAGTCTGTCGGACTTGTTCTTCCTCCCAGATCTTCCCAAATAGAACGTGGAGCGTCTTTGCAGTTATTTCTTTCTGACTTCAGTGCTTCAGCTGATAGGTTTCCAGGTCCTGATTTTTCCCCAATTTTGATTTGCCTGATGGTCGTGTTGATTTCTTCGATCGTTGGTGGAGTAGCAGCTATGGAAAGGACTCTGTGCTGCCTCGATTTCCTGTGAATTTAGTAGAACTAGCCTATTCAAGAGTTCCTCAAATTATTCAACCCACCTGTCCCACTGTTCTTGAATCTCAGTGATTGGCTTATCTTCTCTGTTCTCGACTGGTTGCTCTTGTTTACAATAGTCCTCTTCTAGTTTCTTCATAGTGTCATACTCCCCTCTCTTGCAGGTTTTCCGCTGTCATTGTTAGCTTACTTACCTACGTCTGTTACTTCTCGCGAAGGAGCATAGGCCACTCACCAGCATTCTTCATCCAACCCTGTCCCGGGCAATCCTTTCCAGCTCCTTCCAGTCATTATCCATCCTTTTCATATCTGCTTCGATTTCCCGACGTAATGTGTTCTGTGGCCTTCCTCTTTTCCGCTTCCCTTCAGGATTCCAAGTTAGGGCTTGTCTCGTGATGCAGTTTGATGATTTGCGTAATGTATGTCCTATCCATTTCCATCGTCTTTTCCTAATTTCTTCAGCTGGAAGCTGGTTTGTTCTTTCCCAGAGGCTGTTGCTGGTGGTATCCGGCCAATAGATGTTGAGTATCTTGCGTAGACAGCTATTTATAAATACTTGTACCTTCTTGATGGTGGTTGTTGTAGTTCTCCAAGTTTCAGCTCCATACGGTAGAACTGTGTTGACGTTCTTATTGAAGGCTGTGACTTTGATATTGGTTAAAAGTTGTTTTGAGTTCCATATGTTCTTCAATTGTAGGGATGAGGCCCTTGTTTTGCCAATCCTCGCCTTTACGTCTGCATCTGAACCTCATTGTTCATCGATGATGCTTCCCAGGTATGTGAAGGATTCTACATCTTCCAGAGTTTCGTCATCAAGAGTGATTGCATTGCTGTTCTCCATGTTATATTTGAAGACCTTGGTTTTCCCCTTGTGTATGTTGAGGCCTACTATTGCTGCTACTGCTGCTACACTGGCTGTCTTTATCTTGATTTGTTCATGTGTATGCGATAGGAGGGCTAGGTCATCTCAGTTAGTCAGTCAGTCAGTAACAATGTAGAACTTCGTACGTACGTACATCAGTTCGAGTTGCCACACCACATTAGCACAGAGATGCAGTGATCGATTCAAATCCCGTAGTGCTAGATGTAGTAAAATTATAAGCTGCTATCAGAAAAATTAGGGTTTGAAGATGTTATTCAAGGAGTATAATCCAGTGAAATAAATTTGGAAAGAGAAAAAAGAAAGGGACATGAAGAATTCAGAAGATTAGAATTTGGGAGAACACAAAGAGTGGATGCACCTGCACCACTGCAAACGATTTTGAGCCATGTCATTCAGGATCTCTAACCATCGGTTGCTATCATCTCACGGTCCCCAACCAGGTGGTCTACACCTACCAATATGACTCAGTCCACTTGTCAGTGATTTCATGGACTTGTGCCATGTTTTGGTCTGGCCGCCCATAGCTTTCTTTCAATCTACTCCTATACAACAAAACATCGCACATCGAGGCAGTCGGTGGTTGCGCATACGTAACACGAATATCCTCTACCCTTATCGGCCATGTTTCACTGCCATAAAGTAGGATGGAACGAACTGCTGCGCAGTAAACACGTCCTTTGGTTGGTAGACGGATATCTCACCTACGCCATAAATGATGCAAGTTGGCAAAAGCTAGTCGAGCCTTCTGTATCCGTGCTGAGATTTCGTCACACACTAAACCACAAGGGCTGATGAGACTTCCGAGATAAGTGAAGCGGTCGACACACTCAACTACTTCACTCCCTATCACTAGTTCGGGTGTCGATGCAACCCAATCCTGAAGCAACATTTTGCATTTCGAGGGAGAGAATTGCATGCCGAACATGCTTGCATTGTTGCTTAGAGTAGTCAGAAGACTGTATTTTGTCAGCGTCTTTATCAAATAGAACTGTCATCAGCATATTCTAAGTCAACAAGTGAACCTCCCGGTAGAAGTTCAACTCCTGGAAATCTAGACGAGGAAAGTGTAATCTCTAAAAGTACGTCGACGACAAAGTTGAACAAGAATGGAGAGAGTGGGAAGCCCTGACGAACACCACATGAGGTAATCAATTCTGATGACAGTTCGCCATAAGCTCTCACTCTACCAGTTGTGTTCGAGTAGAAACCTCTATAATGGACATCTTTCTGTAAAATTCATCTTTTACATCACCTGCGCTGCAGTCAGTGGGAAAATAGGCAGAGGCGACGACGAGTGTCCCTATCTTTTCGGATCCTTACTGTTCCGTTCAGTCGGACAGCGCATAAACGACTGTCTACTGGGATCCACTCTAAGGCCCCCAAATGCCCTGGTATAGCCGAGAGCGGGGTGGGCCTGCCCTCCCTCTCGAAATACTCTCACACGGCCACGCGTATATAGCCTCTGCCAGGGAAGTCCTACTCACTGCCTTCTCGTGGCGGGGGTGTTTTTTACGAAAATGAAAGGACGAA